TGCCACAGTACACTCCTTATGWAGTATACATACAAAATATTAAACATTTTAAATGTGTTCTTTAAGCATACTAAAATATTTTTTAATCAGAATGTATTATTAATTAAATGTTCTATTAAAAGGAAAAATGAAGGTCAGTATATGCTTGAAAAATTACCCTGTATATATTAGAGTGTATGTTACAAGAATGAATGCCTTAATTATTATATAAACAATGGTTAATGTAAATGTTATGATAAATTGTTATTAATTAGAGGTGCCTAAAACCTACTATATTATGGTTATTATTATTTTAGGTACATATGTTTGCTTTAATTGGGGGTTCAGATTATAAGGAACTTACTAGACGAATATTAAAGAAACTCATTTCTGACGAACTTGCTGCTGTGTATAGTGTAGTTATACAGGACATAAAGGAAGAGGATTAAAAATGGCCTTTAACAGAACATTTCTTTCAACATTATTGAGTAGTAATTATTAATTCAAAATTATTTTTTATATATATTTATAATCAAGTACCTATTTATTCTTGATAACAATTTTAACTTAACAATATAGTTAGTACTTGATAGTAACCAAACAAAAATAATCTTAATTTTTTTTTTAAACCTAAGTACCTATATTATAATACTAGTGCTTTACTTACCTACAAATAACAGATTTTTAAAAGAATATTATTATGAAAAAAATGTATTATGTATGTAATTATTCTGAAAAGTGTTTATTCTGGAATAATAATTTTTATTAATTAATTGCTTGATATGCATAATGTATAATCATTATAATTATGTTTATTTTTTTTAGAAGCAGTTCAAGAAAAGTTTGTTGAAACAACAAACAAGCAAATTGAATGTACTGCAAGTATTTGGCTAACTAAAGCTAGTGAGCGGTTAAAAAATAAAAGTACATGATTTTGTTTTTTGATATAATTACCTATGTTATAACGTATTATATAGTAAGATAAACTATATTGTATAATATATAACAGCAATACCTAAAATACCAGTGTGTTCAATTTATTTTAAACTTTTATTAAAACATGATTTTGATTGTTTTTTTTTAATAATATTATGTTATAATGTATTATATATATAATAAGTTAAACTATGTATAATACATAAGTGTAATAAAATACAAGTGTTCAATTTATTTTTTTTGAGACATGTTAAATTATATCATAATATCATCTATTTTTTAAAAATATTTTTCAATACTTCAATAGCAATAATTGTCATGTGAAATCAAAATCTGCAATATAGTGATGAAAAGAGACTATATATA